ATCTACTGTGATCCTGCTCCCATTCGATCTATACAGTTTTTCGGTCTAGCCAAATTCTTCGTGTGTTACATACTTGTCACCTAAGAGTCTAGTTTTTACAAAGGAGCCAACAGGCAGACGAACATTGGTTACTGACCGAGAATATATATGGCATTATATTCCTAATAAGGGCTGGTAAAGATGGTTCCTTTTAAGTTGTTCCCTTTGCTACAAAATGAAGTCTGTAAAGTGCTGTTTTAGCAAATTTTTCAATTTTACATAAATATATATAGTTATTATATATGTATATAGTTATGAATATCAAAATTATATACCTATATCTTATTATGTTTTTTCTTAGCATACAAATTACATTTAAAATGCATATAAAATGTTAACAACCAGCTGAATTTGAACCGTCGTCCAACTTGATGGAACAACAATAGGGTAAATTTTCGCATAAGCTTATTGTTTTTCTAAATAAGGCCATTATCTGACAGAAAATATAACCGGCTTCGGTTGCTTGTACGATACGTGACGTATTTATCAGAATATTTTCACGTTTCATTTCCTTTTTCTCTGGAATAACATATTTTAAAATTATCGTTAAATGATGATTGTAAATGGAAAAATTGTATTTATGATATGAGAGATATAAAGTTACCCAGATTAATTTGGAGGAAATGGCAAATATATAATTCGCTGAGGAGCCTGTTTTTTGTGGTTTGTGGAGCTCTCCCAAATACATATATTTTTTGCACAGTGCGGCTGTTTTCGATGTTTATAATCGGATCCTTATGTACGTTAGTTATAGTTTCCGAAATCAACGAGTGCCTTCAGGTCGACAAAAGGACAAACAGACAGACAAACAGGAGATGCTACCTCCTGCCTATTACACGCATTGGCACTTTAACATTGAACCCAATTTACCAATTTCCAGGTATAAACAGTTAAAGACATTTTCCTTGATAGAAAATATTTTTTCTTATTTAATTTTGTAAGCCTGGAAATGCCCATATATCTTGGGATACATAGCCAATTGTATTTCGGCATGACGCAGAAAATAATTTAACATATTCATTAATAAAACTGCATGCTGTGTCTAAATATGAAACAAAATAAAAGTTTTCAATAAACAAATTATTTTTCTACCAGTTCTACATATAGAACTTTATAAAGCTGTTTCGGTCAATAATTTAATTATTGATCGATCGTTCCTATCGCAGCTATATGATTTAGTATACTGCACCCGCCGACTTCGAAACATGTATTTCTCTAACAGAAATATTCATGGCGATTGCTTTAAGCTAAGGGACTAGTTTGCACTGAAACAAACTGACTGGAATATATAACTACTGATAATGAATATATATACCTTATGGAGTCAGATACGTCTTTTCTATTCTGTATATATTTTATAACAAAATACATATAACTAACAAATAAACAAAGGGCACAAAAAGCAACAATACCATATTTCAAATAAATAATAGTTAATTTTCAGTATAATTGAATTGGAAATTGGTACTTTTTTGGATTCGTAATTTTAATTGATCCACAATATGGTCAGCTTACCCTTATGATTCATATCATCCAAGGTTGGCAGTCGTTCAATTAGTGACCCTGCCGACCATGGCACTGATCCTATAGCTGCCGGAGTTGGTTGCAGGGTAAACATAATTAAAAAGATATGTTTTTGTGGTTAACAAGATGCTTGCGATCCCAACGATCTTGGATCTTGGATCGAACCGTCAAGGAACACAAAAAAAGTTGCTCTTGATGTTGATGATATTCAGATTACGATGGAAATCGGTATTGTGCGTGTAGTATTAATTTATGTACATGCACTTTGTGAGAAACTTGGGTTAGTATGCGTTCTACTCGTCATTTGAGTGTCAACAAAGACCTTTAAAAATAAATGCCAGGATTCACTGCAGGCGGCAATGTTTCACGCAGGGCTACCTCCACAGGATCGAGCCAGCCTTAGCGAAATTCATACAGATGGCGATGATTTTTTTTATTTAAGGGCTACATATGCAAGTACCACACATATTGTGTGTGTATTGTATGTAGTATAATATGCTAAAAAGGCATTGGTTTTTGTTGAACCGTCGTTTTTTTGTTATGTGAGCAACGGCTTTGTTTTAGTTCACTTGTTCTTTTTGCACTTTCCTGCTTTACTTATCATACAAGAACCCGATATTAACACACGTTGTTAACTTTGCTTTAAACCATCCCGGGCACACGTACACTGATTCGGTTGGCACATTTCACTATTTTCTTGGTTGCGAAAGTTATAATTCGTGTAAATTAACATTTGTGAACTTCTCATATATTTACACACATTACATATTCTCATTAAACACTTAGAGAGAGCTACGCCAGTTAAATAAACCGTATCCGATGTACAATATTTAGTTCATGATCGGACCGTCGGAATAAGGAGTTACAGTAAATGCGCGAGACACCGTGCGAATGCAAATGCCAATATGACTATTGCTTGCTACAGACTTTGGCCTGAGGTTCAAGCGTATGGGGCTAATTTGAAGCGTGGTGGATAGACAGCCCTCTTATTGGCTCTCGCAGCCCATCCACTTCCACGTCTGCCGCATTCAGCTGCAATGATTGGCTGCTCGCTCGTGAACTATCCATCTCGCTCGCGCCCGGCTCGCAAATTGCAGCTGCGTGCACAGTACAGCAATACAAGCAAAGCATACATGTGTGCGTGGCTTACTCTGATCCTGGACCCTTCTCTCTGCTTGGGCAGTTGCACCGCTTGTTGCGCGAGTGTTTCAACCAACATACAAAAAAGTCAAGCAACGGCTTGTTAATTCTGGCAAAGATATTTTTGTTTATTAAATAATTTTTTGCTCAGAACCAAAAAGTTTTATAAATTGATGTATCCATGCAACAGAACGGCAAAATTGATACTTACATAAAAAAAAAATACAATCCAGATTTGAGGCAGATTTGCTTTATTAACCAACATTGCTCTTTCAATATGCGAAACTCGTAATGCTCTTCTACATTATGTGCGTGTGGGGGATACCTAAATGCATGCATGTACATGGGCCATATGCATATATAGCTCATACATATACAGAGATATAAAAATATAAACATACAGACACATACACATACACATACATTCACGAATACAAATGTATGCATGTTGGATTGGGAAACTGGCATTCTATTTGAATTTCCCGAATGAACGGGCGAGAAAGTTGCAGCCGCCCAATTGAATTGTTTCATTCCGATACAATAACCGCTAGACTCTTCCGTTAACTATCCACACGGCTTCCGTTCCGACAAACACAAACACAACACGAAGCCAAATACGAATGGGCGGGATGGAGCTGCTGGAGCCTGTTCCAGATTCTGTTCCTGATTCTGGGCGTGGGCGCGCTGTTGTTTTCAAAATGACGGCGAGGTCGGACGCGGACACACCCACATGCACGAAGCCTGAGCGAGTCGATTATCGCTTGTCTTGCTCTCGCATGCGTGCACGCGTTCCATCGAACTCTGCCGCTAGAGCGAAATGGATATATGTATGCATATCTAAGAGCAAGGGCACATATTTAAATTCTTGCACAAAATGTTTACAAAATTGTTATAGCAATCATTACAAGCAACGAGTACGTTTAATCCCATTGAATTGACACTCTCTTGCGGCAAAACCATACACAATTGAAGCGTTTCTGGTTTAGATTTCTTTAATGATTCCAAAATAGGCACCATGCAGCCCGATAAAAATATCAGAGACCGGGACAACGACAACTTAAATCAATATAGTGACGACTTTTAGGTGAAATCGTTTTCACAATATCGTTACATTTTCCCCATTTACCACCTGGCAGAAGGAATTGGAAAAGAAACTTCGCTGCTCACATTAGGATGTGGAATCAAACTTGACCAAAAAATTTCTGTTTGTCTGGCTGTATGTTTCCGTTTAGTTTCGTTTTGAATATAGTATGGAGAACATTATGGCAAAAAGAAAACCTTTTTTGATTACAAATATATGCCACAATATGCCACATATATGTTAACTCAGATTATAGAGAATATACTCCCCCTAATAAAATTGAAAGCTTCACCAATTTTTTATTATTGGTTATAAGCCTCTAATAGCTATGAAGCTAAAGTCGTTATTTCTTCACGAAAATTTGAAGTGTTGTGGAATCCGCGCGTAGTGAACTTTTTTTTAGCATCGCTTTAATAAAAGATTAAAATTGAGTACTAAGCCAGTTTTGCAGGAGTTGAGGTTTTTCTAAAAACTTTATTACCCAAAAATAACTTCCATCTAATAATTCGCGAAAGTATATTTGCATTACCCCATTTAAATTCTACAAAATATGTAAAAGCATGTCTTTAATAAATCTTACATAAATCGCGGAAAATAAGTTTGAAGCGGATTAAATAAAAACTAAAATAACTCAAAACATACTTTCCAACTTAAGAACGGGCTTATGCGAAATCATGTTAGTCCGCATTCCTCTTATTTTAAGGCAATCAGGTGGGTTTTTCAAAAGTGTCTACATCTGCAATTCATTTTCATAAAAATCTTTAGAAAATTAGTTGGGAAAAAAACAAAAAAGACGAAGTTCATGCGGATGGAATACAGTATTGAAAATGTAACTTCAGGAAGCGTCGCTAGTTAGGTAAATACCTGTTTCAAATTAAGTTGTGAATCAGTCGATCCCGATGAGAGTTTTATCCTTTCGACATCCAACTCTCACATGTTGGCAAAATACAATTTTTTATACCACCTTGAGTTTCCAATTGCATTCAGTGGAGGGTATTTCCTACACATATTGCAGATAACATTTTAAATAAGCAAAAATGTCCGCATATTTGGAAGTTGACCTTTCAAATGTCGGTGAAACATGAAACCGTTATGTTTATACATTTTTTTAAAATGTGTTGGAATTCGACTGAAATAAAAGATAAATAATTTCTGTTAACAATCTTAGACAACCGTTTTCCAGAAGTGATCAGTCAGCATAGAAGAAAGACGGCTTTTATTTGGAAAAATGAAAGATATATTAATGTGGATGATGAAGAAGAAAGAAAGTCAACATTGGAAAAATGTTAGCTACTTAGCTGTTTGCATTTGAGTAAGGCAAAAATGTTCAGACTTGCAGAGTATATTCTTGTGTCGCACACCCTTCTTCGAACTGCAGGGTAGCCTTGTTGCAGGCACCCCTTTTTGTGAAACTCGGAATTTTAATTTGTTGAGATTTAGATCAAATGTGCGTATGCTTTTATCATTCGGCGTTCATTCGTTTATTCGAATATTAACGGATAAGACGAAGCACTGCACCCAGCAGAGCAATATAAGTATTATTTCAATACACATAAGACACATGAAAGTAAGGCTCTCAGCAGGAAGTTGTTCCCTGTGCCCAGGCTGTGCTCTGGACTCGGCTCTTGCCACGTGCCGTGTGAACGACGTTTGTGCAAAACTTTTCCGCTTTTACCGAGCGAGAGCTTCGGGGTAGATTAAGCTTTGCGTTCCGGGTCCAAGGCCGGATCCACCGCCTGTTATGTTGGCTGCCTGTTTCGCACCAATAAGTATTAATAAACGAAATCCAAATCTACTTTCCAGATCTGCACAAGTACATACCAATATGCTTAGAAACAGTATTTGAGCATTATTGAGAACGCAGATAAGGTTCACTTTAAGTTAGTTCCTTGAGATATATATATATTATATGCCGATGTCGCAGCAGATTGGCCTTTTGACTTTTTGACAACAACAATTATAGTTACAATTATAAGGATAATAAATTAAAAAAAAATATCGCCAAAATATTCGAAAACTGCGTATTTTCAGAAAATGTGCTTCATGTGTGTTTCATATTTTTAATATTTACTTAAAAAGAAAATCATGTTTGTAGCGGGTTCTTTAAACTCAAACCAAACTATGACCATCACTTTATAATTATAACGTAAGGGGTTCTAGTGCATATATTCCTTCTGCCTGTTACATACATTTGGATTTTGCACAAATTCAATATACACTTATACCCATTTTTATGGGTTCAGAGTATAAAAAAAATCATGTTTTTAGCGTGTACTTTAAACTCTAGTCAAACTGTGCTCTTTACTTGGCGCGTTGGGCGTGGCAGCGTGCAAGCATGCGATTAGGCTTACGATTACAATTCGATTACCGTAAATTGTTACGTCATTTTGTTAGCGCTTTGCCGCTTTTTAGCTTGTTGTTCCTGTTGTTGCTGTTGTTGCTTTAGCAGCATGCCAGCGTCTGATACGCTCTCTGCGCACCGTGTGAAGTCTTGCGAGTAAGCGATAAGGACGCATGCCATATTATTCAGAGAAAACGTTGCCGTTGCCGTTGCCGAAGGCAGCAGGATATGCATGGCGCTAGATATTAAAACATACATATGTACATGAGAAATAAAAGACAAAGTCGACTCACAGTCCAAGGTCCACACGGAAAAGCCTATGCAGTATGTCTTGCAACCATTAAACATAGATATAGCAGAGTTTAATGCAGCTCCAACCGCATAAAGTGTATTAAATATATTCAATCAGCCTCAAGACTGCACAGTCTATCTGGCCGAGTTTACGGCGTAGTCCGAGTCAAATGAATAATGTTCATAATTTGAGAAATCTCGAATTTGTTTGCTTAAATCACGTCGGACTCGACTGCAGAAAAAATCAAGGTAGAGTACTCTGTTTGGAAGTGCCCCACTAGGGGATAGCCTAAACTTTCTTCTCTTCTTACCTTACCTTACCTTTTTTACATATTTAATGGGCAAAGTGGCGTACTAGCATTATTTATTGTAATTATGATCTGGTATATATTATACCATAAGCTACAATTATGTGGCTGACTAAAACCGAAGAGATAAATATAATTTCGATATCGATTCTTATCGATTAATTTAAATCGAGGAAGTTATCGAAGATCGGACCAGCATCTCCGACCACATAAATATATATAAAGCCAATGTAGCCATTTCTATCTCTGTTATTTTATTTGAACAATTGTGCTGCAATTCGAGTTCATTATTATTATTATTATTATTATTATTATTATGATTATTATTATTATTATTATTATTATTATTATTATGATTATTATTATTATTATTATTATTATTATTATTATTATTATTATTATTATTATTATTATTATTATTATTATTATTATTATTATTATTATTATTATTATTATTATTATTATTATTATTATTATTATTATTATTATTATTATTATAATTATTAATTATTGGTATGGCTGAAAGGAATGAGGCAACGGAAAATAGTTCGGTTGGTTGATGGTAGTTGCGAGTTCCACACCGGCAATGGGAACTACTTTATATTTAATATAATATACTCTATTATAATATATATCTTTACCTATAAAATGGGTGACAAAATAATGTCAAGCTAAGGCAAGCAAGTGTAAAGCGCAAGCGGTAGAAGAAGGTTCAGGGTATTCCCTAGACGGAAACTCCCGACTGGAGCACTCTTTTTTAAACAAGAAATAAAAAA